GGTAGGGAGATCAAAGCGGAGAGGACCTCTGAGATGCTGCTTGTGAAGAGACTGATGAAGTCCTCTGTGCCGCACGTCCTCCAAGCACACACACACGCACACACTTCATCACAATGTCCTGCGTCCTTGCTCTGTCCTGATTAGAAAGTTTGACCCGATGTAGTTTGTGTGAGTCAAATTAGTGTTATCACGCACATGCTGCTGATGTGTGGAAATCCAAACATGAAAAAATGCCTCATGTGAAGTTGGAACGGACCATGAAATGCATGCATATATGTATGCTTATGGATTTTTAGCAGTACGCTTTTGAAGGCCTTGGGTTGATATGCGGTATTTGCTGCTTAGGGGGATCAATATGGGGTGCTTTTACCAGCTGAACCCATAACAGATAACGTGTGACTGACCTTAATTCAAATTGAAGCAGAGCAAATGTCACTATAAAGTGTTTACTCTTTCTTACTGGGTTCCTTGCAAGTTAACTAGAGAGGAGAGAAGAAGAGTCACAGACTAAGGCTGGATGCTGGATTGTATTCAACCCCTTGATCTCAGCATGTTGTTTCTAAGTTATAAAGCCTCTTTAGGAAGCTGGACGCTTGAAGGCAGAAGAATAAGGATTGTGCCTGCTGACAGAATAAAACAACATTCTGGGATAATAATTGTAATGCCACCAAACCTGGAAATTGCAAAAAGATAACATTCTCAAATTTAATACATACTTTATCATCTCATTACCACGAGAGATGCTGTAAAATACCGTCATGTTTGTAGCAGAAACCTATTTTGAGTCAAAGCTGGCGGGTGTTTGAAATTGTTCATAGTTTTATCCATTTGGCGTTAATCTTAGATGCAGAAGAGTAACCACAGAGCACGATGATGACATCGCCAGGTTTCACGGGATCTATCTTCCGGCAATGCTCAGTTCAAAACATACATGTTGAACCTACTTTTTAGTCTAGATATATGCAGCACACAGCATTGGTGCTATCAGCTTTTTGGTAGCTCACTTAACTTCTTTCCACCTTATATATTTTATAAGCTATAACAAGTGGAGCATCATAATGAAAGTCCCGATGCTACTCATATATATATATATGAGTAGCATATATATATATATATATATATATATATATATATATATATATATATATATATATATATATATATAAAGATATATAATGTCACATACTGTGTGTTTATGAGATAACTGGTAATATTTCAGCTCTTAAAGGAGCTCACTGTTTTTCAGTTGAATGTATGAACCGTTTTTAAGAGGAATTGGGTCAGGTTTGGGGGTACAGAAAACCCTCTGCCAACAAGATGCACTCTTATGTTTTTCTTGCTAGTTTTACTGCATGTACGTGAGAAATATGAATCAGAACAGCTTTATTAGTTTTAGAGTTTTGTTTCCTCAGGCAATCTAAAACATGTGGTTGGGTTCGAGATTTAAAGGAGCTGCCTGGAGTTGGGAAACTATCATCACTGTGATTTAAATACAATGTTAATATTTCTTACTTCTTTAAATACATGAAACGGACAGATGGACGGATATTCAGAAGACGCTGATAAGTTAAAAAAATAAAAAATACCACCCTTATATTGGATTGAGAACAGAAAAGAAATAAATGTTCTACAAGCTTGAAGTTTGTTCCGCATTACTTATAATTTTAAAATTTAACATATATTTAATTATTTTAGCTGCGTTTCTAAAAGCTTGGAGAGCAGTGTGTTTACCACTGCGTTGCATCACCTCTTCTTTTTGACAAATGTGGAACAGAGAGACGTCTTACAGATTCATAACAAAAATATTTTTGCAGTCTTCGTGCATACAGAAATTTTTACGCTTCACACGCTTCAGAGTCTTTTTATCTAAATTTTCCTTTCATATAGAGTCTTAGCACTTTCCGTCGATAAAAAGTCGGGGCTGTTGGCTGATATTCACACTGTTTTGATCGTACTTTTTTAATTGTTGCATAATCTGCTTTGATAGTGTATTTTTAAAAGAAGCAGTGGGATTTTGTGACAGGGAATGTAATCTAGATGACGGGGATCAAACCAGCTTAACATAAAAGGTTCAGAAGAATCGGCAAAAACCATAGAAGGTAGACCACAGAAATCTGTTCTGGATGCCCCAAAACAATGTTTGTTTGTTTTCACATATGACAATTTTAAGAATTAGGTCTACTTGTACTCTAAGAAAAGCATCTTTCTCAGCATTACAGTCTTTAGCAAATAGAGAACGATTTGCTAATCCAAACTGACTGCAGGAATGGTTCAGTTTTCAATCTGAAAAGAAAGAAAGGTTACATGTGTATTCACACGGTGTAAATATCTGGTTTTAACAGGATAAATACAAATGTACTGTAAGATTATTTTTTTCTAAACCTTTCTATTTCTATATAGACCGTTTTTTTTTTTTCTCCAATAACACACTTTAACACAAGAGGGACAAAATGGCCACACGTGGTGGGTAACGATTCACTAATGAGCAATTTCAATTTCACTTGGAGTGCTTTGAAAGACTTGTTTTCTTTTTTACCTAAATGCGTTGTTTTGATTTAAATTGGCAGGTACGAACAATTTAGTTGCAAAATACATCAAGTCACAGTTGGTATCCCAGTAACAGTGTGTGTCAAATTGCAATCGCAAAGGAATGGATTTAAATAATATATGTGTGCAAGTTAGACGCACTCAACCTGCCCTTCATTACGGAGGATCTAAATCTCGTGCAAAGCGGTGTGTACGCTGCGTAACTGAGAAAAAAAGGAAAGAAATAAGAAAATGTGGGTTAATCATATTCAATTTTGTCATTGCTATTTTAGCTGTACTATCACAGCTAAATATTTCCCAGATATTGTCCAACCCTGGTAAATAATTATTTAAAAAATATGAGTCTTTACTGTTTATGATGGTAATATTTACTGATAGACTGTTGCAGATGTTTGCTAGGTGCTATTTCGCTTCTTTTTTTTTTTCAAAGATCTTTTCATATTGAACGGCGTTCCCTACAAGTGCTGGGATTCTGCATTATTTCATATTCGAGTATTGTACAGACACATAAGCAGGAATTAAATGTTTCCGTTGCTTTAGTGCATAATCCTTTGAACACAAGGATACGACACTAAAGTCTACAAGTCTGTTTTTTGGCTCTGCGACAGGAATCCCACTGAGCCGGGGAGGCACTTTGTCAGTATGACTTCTCTAGCATTTTGAAGGCTTTGTCAGCCCTTTGCCCCCAGCAATTCATGCCTTGTAGTCCCCAGATTGGATATGGATGGCTTTTCATGTATTATAACATAGCAGGTGCTGGTTTTGTCGGCTTCTCTAAGCCGTATTGTCCACGGCAAATATTCCATTTGCAGAGGTTTCGGAGCAGGTGGAACCATCTACAGCACTAACAAAATATATGTATGTATTGTAAATAAAATGAGGGCTCTTTTATCTAAAGCTGAGAGAGTGTATGCCACCAGTAGGTAATCTGGCAACGCGCTGCTGCAGCGATAACAGCACCTTCAGGGACGTCAGGATTGCTTTTCTCTCACTGGTTGCGTGCCCTGCAACGGCTGTTGATACATTATAAATCATTTACACAGTCATTTTGGAATGCAATATCCCCTTCTAAATGCTGGCTTTTCTTCTCTGTGGTTTATTAGAGTGAACTCGGCAGTAGGCACGCAAGTCTGAGGGGGACCCTAAGCCATAGAAATTGAAAATTGATCAGCAAGTGTGGGAATCTGTTAGTCCTGGCACCACAGCTTGCACCACGGGACTGTTGATTAGCATTTACAGTACAACGCGTTCACCAAAGGTAGCCTTGCTGCCTGCAGCTAGATGCCCCATCCTGCGTTCTTCCCATAGCGTGATCACCTGTGAGAGCAAACCAGAGGGGTAAAATGTCATTTCCATTATCCTCTTTTGTACAAAAAATTAAAAGGAAAATGAAGAAATTATAGCCTCTGTGTCATTACACAGGACATTAAACTTTATGTTATTAGTCTTCAGTGATTGGTTCACACTTCAGGATTTAAGCACATACTGTCAGAGGGGCAGTATTATATAAAATCAACTCTTTTGAGCTTTACAACATATTTTGAAGTTATTCCCTCAACAAAAACGTGCAATGTTACTTTGAATCTTGCATGCGTGTTTCAGAAATCCTTTTATCTCCGACTATTCAGCTCGTCACCGAGTACGGCCTTAAGGACTAGGCTCCTCCTCAGACCTGCAGTTTCCAAGCTTGTGTATCACAGAGCAGCCCTTCGCGCTACTCTCCCGGTCAAGTCCTACAGACTAGCCAGCAGCAATTAGCAAACACCTGGTGGAACTGTGGATCTGCTGAGCTCATTATAGGAGCTACTTCTCAGTGAAACGCTGGTGAAAACATTTTTGAAGGGTCAATAGAGGAGCGCTGCTGTGATGACTTCCTGAAGACAGAGTTTCAGACGGAGCAGGAGCTTTTAAAGGCCCAATTTCAAGGCGTTGATGACTCAAATTTCTTTTGACCCCTATTGAGTAAAAAAGGGTTAATGCATGCTAAAACGTTTCAGATTTGTATTTTTTTTCCTTTTGTTTAACTAAAAAACATTCACAATTGCCATTATACTCATATGTTCTTCGTTTTGTGAATGTATCACATTAAACTCCAATTAAATGCATTGACGTTTGTTGTGGTGAGGTGGCAGATGATGGAAAAGTTCAAAGGGTATAACTATGCACAGCAATATAATTGGCTTGGTATAAAGTGAAGGATAATTACCTGCTGACAGTTAATGCCTTTCCCCATACCAGTTGTCTTATGAGCATCCTCAGGCCTCAGCCTGGCAGGTTGCACCACACTTAATTATATTATGGATTGATGATAGCACTAAGAGCCACGCCATGTTTGTGTGAACTGTTTAATACCATGACAGAAAAGGACTCCCAGAGTCAATAATAATGACTGGCTAAAAATGGTAGGTTGTCAGGGAACTTGCACTAATTTTCCTGTCCTCTTCCCTTTGCAGCGCCGGCTGGAAGATCTGACGAGCGCACTGGGAGGCGAGTGAGTGAGGACCTGCATATCTGCGGCTGTTTCTCATCATTTCTAAGCTGGTGGGCTTCTATATCACAGCTGATGACTGTCCCTCCGGAGGCTGGATTACAGGGGTTAGCGGCAAGCCTGAGTGTTTGCTGAAGGGCGTGCCCCGGCTTGTATGTTGGTCACCTACGCTCGCTCTCGCTCACAGGGATCATGTGGCTTTGTCCGAGGAGAAATCGTTTCCCCTTGCAGAACTGGCGCGGCGTCCACAGTTGCACCAATTTCAGCGTGTCCTTGTGGGTTTTAAGCTTCTGCTGGTGCTTCGCGGCCCTGCGAGGTCAGAACTACCACCCCACCGTGAACACGCAGTACGGGAAGCTCCGCGGGGTGAGGGTGCCCCTACCGAGTGAGATCCTGGGGCCCGTCGACCAGTACCTGGGGGTCCCCTACGCGGCTCCGCCCGTGGGAGAGAAGCGCTTCATGCCCCCAGAGCCGCCTTCTTCCTGGTCGGGGATCAAAAACGCCACCCACTTCGCCCCCGTCTGCCCCCAGAATATTCACAATGCAGTGCCAGAGATCATGATGCCAATATGGTTCACCTTTAACCTGGATATAGTTACCACGTACATACAGGATCAGCACGAAGACTGTCTTTACCTAAACATCTATGTTCCAACGGAGGATGGTGAGTGTGTCGAGTATGAAATCCAAAACTGTCCTCCTCTTTTCTCCTGTCTCTGCTTCCCACTCCTCCTGTCCTATCTCAGAAACTCTGTGTCACCTTTTTGTTCCTTTTCGAGCAGAGCATGACCTGTTGTCTGGCGCATGCTGTGTACGTGTTCATTAGCTCAGCCTTCCATCTTGATTAGATCTTCCTCTTAGTCTTTTCATCAACTCTCCCCTTCCATGCCAATGTTAGAAGTTCCTCTTTTGACAACTAAATGACTCCTCAATATGACTAAACATGAAAGAAAAGCAAATTTAATCCAAGAGACGGATTGGAAATACTCGATGCACCTTTTCTTTGCCCTCACTGTCTTGACTTGTTCTGGGGATATGACCTATATAGTAGCCTGCCTCATAAGTGAATGATCTTCTGTAGGGTTGGTGAAATATTCTGTCTGGTACATGAGAAGCCTGTGGCATCAGCCTGATCTATGTAAGACCCTTTACTCTCCTTCCTTTGTCCAGTTTGCTTCCTATTAAGCAGAAAAAGTAGAATATTAGGATGCACAAAAAGCATTTTTATTTTTATCATTATTATTTGTGGATATTGACTCCTTAAACGGTATTCACTACTCACCACTTAAAGGAGAGCCATACAGAAAAATTTCACATAAATCTAATGGGCAATGCCAAAAACGGCAGAAAAGTTTCGGAAAGTTTAACCAGCCTGTCCTCTGTGTGGCTGTAATGGGTCTTAAATAGAAGTGCATGTGAATATGGGCTTCTTTTGTCCCAAGGTGCAGCAAATTCATTCCACCATTTCAGAATATTTCTGCAGCAACACCCCAGTTACTTTTTTTTTTTTTTTCAACAGGACCTCTGTTGTTCTTGTCGTTGATATAAAAGTCTAGTGAGGGTGGGAGGAGGGGGAAAAAAAAGGGAGAATACGAGTCTCAGCTGTTGCATGTCACCTGGGTTCTGTTCCAGAGCGCTCTGTTATTTTGTAGTTTTTCCATTCATTTTACAGTCAAAAGAATATCCAAGGAATGTGCGAGGAAACCCAACAAGAAAATATGTAGAAAAGGAGGTATGTAAAAACAACAAAAAAAAGAAAGCAACATGGAACGAAAGGGAAGGAAATGAAAGAGTGAAGAGAGTGATTCATGCTTCCTATCACCATCTACCAACTCCAAAATCAAAGTGCTAATTGGGAAAAATGTGGGCCTTGTGACTCAAATCAACCTTGACATAAGTGTGAGGGTTGAGTAAGTGCTTGATTCCAGTTTGTGTATGTCAGTGTGCGTAAGTTGTGTTTGTCTTTTGTCTCGATGTGTGAATGTGAGCCAAGAGTTGAGAAATATGGTCCCTAAATAAACACTGGGTTGAGAATGTGTACATTTTAATTTGTGACGTTTTGGGAAGTTTATTTTGAAAATGTAACTTTTTATGAAGTGGGGTACTGTGAAGTAGCTACCGGCTATTATAGCTTTACCTGAAGTGGAAGTTCAATGCAGGGGAGTGGTGCAAAGTCGGAAAAATTGAACAAAAATTGCACAAAGGTTCCTACTCGAACAATCAGTAGAAAATTTAAAGTCACATCCACTATAGGTTGAAACGTAATTAATTCATGTTTTAGCAACTGTATTCAAACTAAACAAATGAAAAGCTGTAATTTATTCTGCCACTCTCATCGTGCGTAGCTGGGCGAAAGTGACTTGATAGCAAACTACCTGATTATCACATCGGCTGAGAATCAAATTTCTCCCAAATTTAAGTCCAGTGAAGCTGTGAAGCTAACTTTTGGACCATCCCCTCTGGTGTTGGATGTTTCTTTCAATTAATCCTCTGAAAAATCCAAGAAGCTTATTAAAACACCAGAATCTAGGAACACAAAGGAAGTCTGGATGTTGCGATACAAACCTAGGCTTTGTCAAACTGACATCCTTGCTGGATAGACCGTGAAGTCAATGTCCTTGCCAAGTTCCCTTCATGGCAGAAACAGCAGTCGGGATGTGATGGCAGCAGAATACAGTCGTTTCATCCGCACCGGCAGGTAGATTGTGTTCTCGCTGGAGTTCTCGTTTTCTCTTCGCTCTGCTCCTGCGTTCTGTCTCTAGAGCCAACATTTCTTCCTCGGTCTGCTCTAGCTGAAACAGATATTATCACGCCAGAAAAATGTCGTAGTCCCTCAGTTTTACTGGCTTGCAGTTGCCTCGGCTGAGCGAGCAGACTGAAACAACCAGAGGCCTCGCAACACAACTTTTAGGTAACATTAATGCTGTTCTGGCTGAGAAAAGAACTAAGTTACGATTGGATGAAAGACGTGTAGAAGTTTACAGCACACTATCGTAGCACTGGTTTGCGGTTTTTACTTTTATAAATTGGATATCTGTTACTGGATCTGACTGCAACAAAACTTGTTTGTTCTTTATCATTATTGGTAGCTCTTGCACAGAACCCCTCTTCAAATCGTTCAGATTTCCCCCTTTAGGTGAAATGCAGCTGTTGTTAATTCAGAAGCACAAGTGCTGGGTTTGAGTCATTTGTCAAATATTTCAACTGGAAGAATTGGAGCCTTAAACATTGAGCTAATATGAACTAACATTCAAAATTCTTTCTCGGCGCAATCGGAACATTAATCTATGCATAAGGTGGTTTCTTACACACAGCCACAGAGAAACAGCCCTTTTTTTTTCACTGGTAATAGCTTAAGTTATCGCTAGTAACCGCAGAGGGATAATTTTCTGCCAGTGCCTGAAGGCAACATGTATGCTTTACATTAAGATCCTGAGCGTATTTTGTGCCACTGCAAAGATTCACTTTCAACTGGGAGACCTTTGCCAGTGATTTCCACAGAGGCAGAAGGCAGCTACTGCCCTCACGGTGCCCACTTCATTCCTTCATTCTGCTTTGGTAAACCAATTTTGTCAGAGACAGACTGGCCCTTCAGGCGCTCCTGCTTCTGAATTAGTCCCAGATGTGGAATATACGCAGAAATATCTATTTAATATTTCCCTTCCAGTTAGAAATTTTCAATTATCTTTCATGTGTATGGTAATGAGAAAATGGTTTATCAAAAGTTTTCTATGTCACTATTTTGGTATGTTATTAACTCCATAGATTTTTTTTTTTGCTGATGACAATCTAAGTTTGTAATATTGTTGTATTTTTCATAAGAAAAGCTAATTTTTTTTTGGCCTGTGGCAAATTTGTTGTAATTCGATTTAATGTGGAAATTTTGCATGTGAGAGTGTGTTTGCAAATACATAGAGGTGACAAATTAAGATAATAATAGCATAATGTGCTTATCAAAAATGCAAGCTTTAATCTTTGTGAAAATTAAAAGATCTATTGGACTTTATAGAAAAAGTGGAATTGGAGTTTTTCCAAGATGTTCCTTCATTCTGTGTTTTATTAGAGGAGAGACTGGGAAACTTACTGATTCCAAAAGATGCTCAATGTGAGTGAAATTTCAGTCTCTGCCAAAAAAAAAAAAAAAAAATGTAAACACTATCTTGCAGGACTTTCATAGACGTGTGAAATCAGTTGCTTTAATTTCACACATCTAAGACAAATCAATTTCATTTACGTTTGAACATTTCGGTTTTGTGAAAAAAAAAAGGCAAATAGAAATGGGTCTTCTTTCAATACAGGAATGACATGAGAAATCGGGTGTAGTTTGAAACGCACAAAAGTATTTTAAAACCTCTCAATAATGTAAAGAAACTATATGATTGTATTAGCCAAGGTTATGANGATCTTATCCAGATCTTATTCTGGTCGAAAAATCCTGGTGCAAATTTTTAAACGAGCGAGATCCTAACTACAAAGTTGGTCTGTCTACTGCTATGTGGAAATGTTGCCTCCTGATTGGTGAAGAATGTTTGTCGTGACGAAGTTCGGATCTCAATTCAAGTTGTCATGACAGCCACAAGTCTGTGCAGCAAAGTCTTAATTGGTTAATGACTCAGTCACTTCTTAAATGTAGAAATCATGTGCCCTTAACTACAGCGATGCCATTTTGAGGTGTGTTTTACAAAACTGCAATGTTCAAGAGTCGAAGAGTAGTGATTTCGTTTTTACTGGTGTTTATAAAACCTTTAGTGGAACCTTATTCCCTGTGGGTGTTTCACTGAGTGAGGCGTTAGCATAGAAATCATCAATAAAAGAGTACAAGGTGATCGCTCTATTACATTACCTTGGAAAAGTGTTCAAACCCTTTGAATGTTTTTACAATGTTACAACAATTAGCACCTAATTGTGAAGTAAAAAAAAACAAAAAACAAACAAACATAATTTCAATATTTTGATCATTAAGTTTCAAATGCCTTACTGGAAAATGGCCAAGAATATGTAGCTGATGTTGCTAAGCCACAATTTTGGTCTAGTCAGGTGAGACCAAAATCCAACCTTTTAGATTATGTATGGTTGGAGAAAAGCATATTTGTATGCTAGAGTGGCCTATTCAAAGTCCAAACCTGAATCCAGCTGATAATTTACGTTCACGTGAGAAAATGTGAAAACATTCAAGAGCCTTGAATACTATTGAGCCAGCAGTATGTTGTCAAGACTTAGACTTCCCATTAATTTGCCACCGATCTGAAGACGGATTTTATTTGCGAAGCATTTGGTGTTAACCTGCTTAATGAATCAGAGTCATACACGCTGTGCATGTTCAGTAGTGATATACATATTTTAAATGCTTATTCTTATGATCAACCCCAAAACTCTGCTGAGCTTTTTTTTTTAATTTCCTCTTAGAAAGCCCTTGGATTCTTGGATATTAAAGATTAGGCTTATTGTCACCCATTACCCCGAAGGAAACCCTGAAAAAAGATCAAAGATGGGCTCAGTAACAAAAAGAATGATGCAATAATATATTATGCAATAATACAATACTTAAAGCAAAAAAACAAAAAAAAAAGTTTCATACCAGTGGAGCTGAACTTTTTGCAACTAATTTCCATATAACAGACGCAAAGAGAGCATTTTTCTTCAGTCCACAAATAATTTTGATGATCACACAGCCAAACATGTCATTCACACAGCTACTATCTTCTGTCTTTTACAAGACCAGCACCGCATCACCTAAACAGATGTCCTGAGAAGCAGCGCCTGAGGTCAGGTGATCTAATGTGCAGCATCAGCGCCACTGGCCCCCCTCCAAACTCTGTCCCTTTGAAGGGGCCTTTTTCACTAAGTGCTCCGAGCAAAGAGCAGTGACAGAGCTGTGGGGACGCTGGAGCCTTGGTCATATCACTCAGTCATTTTTCCTACCCTGAGTTTAGAGTGAATGGAGTGAGGAGGGCGGGTAATGATGTGCAGGGACACAGCTAAGCACTGTTCGGCTGAGAGTGCCAGATATGGTTTGAGATGGGCCAATATTTTGTCCGAGGAGAGGAAAAACCCAGAGTTGCACCGTCTTTATCTGTGAAAGATTTACAGTTGTCTGTTAAATTGTTTGTCAAACTTTAAAGCTGATTACCACAAACACATCCTTTTTGATGAGAACTCCACTTAGGGGTAATTCTGAAAATCACATACAATTGTGTTCTGGGTGCATACAATGTACAAATAGTGCATCATTTTTAACTCAAGACTCATCTTAGTTTTTGTCGTTAGCTTGGAAAATCTTCTACAAAGTCACTTATTCTCCGAGCTGCACTATATTTTGGATGACACTCTAAGATCAACCTTCCTCATTTCTAAATTTATCCCGTATCACGGGTCTATTTTGAAACATAAAATCTTGTTTTAGGTTTTGGCTCGACTCGGAGCGTCCAGCTATCATTCCCATGCAGCTCTCTCATAGGCTGCAAGCTGCCATGTTTTTTTGTTTTTTTTTTAAGCAGCTCCATGCCAGTGCTGAATGGTCCAGCCAGCTGCCAAACCTGTAGATTAACTACCCCAGCAGAAACACTGGACATTCTTTCCACTTTCCCCATGACCTCCAGTTGTTAGAGAGCTGGGAAATCTACAGAGGAGCCTCCAGTCCCGGTTAGACTGCACGAGGGCCATGGCAAACAGTAACACACCATGCTAATCCCATTGGTTGGCCGACTCAGACTCGCCTCAGGGAAGGATGGG